AAAAAAAAATAATAATAATAATTTCTCTAGCATTTTTTAACTAATATATTTAAATAATGGTGTTAAAAATTTAAGAGTCTGTACAAAATCATTTTTAAGATAAGTAAGAATTTTAAATCCTTTTTCTATAAATTTAGATTGTTTAAGATATAACTTTGTAGATAAAAGCAGATTATTCTGATTAACTATATATATGCTTTTACTATATATATATATCTAGTAGTATACTTGCTCTATTGTATGGATTTTAGATTAATAAAGTTACTTGTGCAGAGCTGATAATATATCTCTGTATAACTTATATTAAATGATATATTGCTTTGAATTTATTCTCTTGCTTTGAAGAAAAACTCTATCTTTCAGTAAATTGATTTTGTATGCATTATATTATAACTACTTTGAACCAAAACATAATACTCTTCTGGAATAATAGTAAGCTTTATATTTTTAGCACAGACATATCTTTCTATAAGTGCTTATACTTCACTTCTTCTTTTAGGTAGTTGGCTATCTAATTTTTGCTAGGCTCTATCCTCTCGCATTATGCAGCCAAGATATATAGTTGCTAAATCTAAAAACTTTTTTTTCTAGCTATTTAGATAAGTTTTATAAACCTCTCAGTAATAGCCAGAGTCTAACTCAATTGGTATAATAAATATATAAGCAAGTTGACAAAAGCTATTCTCAATTGTTTTTAAATTATTATTATTTAAATTAGATTGAATTAAAAAAAATAGTAGCAAAAAGGTCTTGGTCTATTTTAATCTTATATAGTCCCATCTCCCTATAATCATCAAGTTTGTTATATTCTATTTTGAAGATTGTATAGAGGTGTGACTATAAACAAATATCAGATTAATATCACATGATCTTCAGCCAATCAATAATTAATTAATAATTTATTAGTCATAATCGTCCTATATCTAAAAGTTTTTTTGTACTAAGTTAGACCACTTCAAATTAATTCTTTGTTTAATATAACATTAAATAGATTATAAGAGTAGGGGAAGAGAGTGAAAAATACACAAATTAAAAAAAATAAGCAATTTTATTGGTTGATTTAACATGTGTTAATTATATAAAATTTAAAAAATTGAAAGAGGATAAATATTATTAATTACTATTAATAAGTATTGGGTTCATATAAATTTAAAAAATAGAGGGAGGTTATGTTAAATAAAAAATCAAATTGGTTTGGCCTTAACTATCTTTGAGTTTCTAAGTAAAGTTGTAGAGCTTATTAAAATAAATCCAATAGTTATTAAATCATCAAAATCTGTCTAGTAGATACTAAGATATCTTTAAAAAATGTTTTGCTAACTATATAAATTCTTTGTAAACAATATAAAAAATTTTTCTATAGTTAATAAAATGTTTTTTAAAGATATCTTAGCATTCACTAGGCAGATTTTGATAATTTAACTACTATTAAATTTGTTTTAATAAGCTTTACAACTTTATTTAGAGACTCAAAAATAATTAACTTAATCAAAAAACCTTTCAATTAATAAATTAGTGATTATAAAAAGGAAGGTTTTTTTATTAATAAATTTGATTTAAAAATTAAATTTTAAGGTAATAGTAATTATAAGTGATTTGTGACTATAATAAGGGTTTTTTTACTATATTTTAAGTTTGTTATACAAAATTGGGTGCTTAAATAGAGGTGTGACTATATGGGGTGTAATTATAAAGAGGTCTGACTATATATAAAATTTACTGTCTTATTTAGTACTTCTGCTTCATTAAATATTTTTTCTGTAATCTCATGTATTTCATCTAGATCATGCCATAATATTTTTAGATTATTGTTATCCTGAATACTACATTCTTCAGTATTTTCATACTGTGTTGTGCCTGAAACTCATTAACAGAGTTTTCAGAAAATGAATCTAAACTTTCTAAATCTTCATTAGTACTAAAATTACTAACTAGAGCATTTTCATTTGAGGTTATTTTAGTAATTAATTTCTTTTTCTTTTATTTTTACTTTTATAAAATATTTGTTACAGGTATTATGTTTTTTTAGCTGGCTATTAGTAAAAGAATAACAAAAATCAATTTTATTCTTTGTGGTATATCAACTATTGCAATATTTTTCACTACTTTTTGATAGAATTTCTACAAAAAAAAAAGATAAGTTATTTGAGTTATTTATAAATTTGTAGATAAGTTTATTAATACTAATCAATATTATTTTTTTATTTAATTTGTACCTTGAATCA